TGTTGATGACTTATATATATTTCCATATTTTTCATCCGCAACCAGGAGCCTGAAATATTAACAATGTATTTTTGTTAAACAAAATAAATTTAATTCATGGAGTAATCTAATAACACCACTCTATTCATCAAATACCATTTACATTGTAACACTCACAAGTTCACAGATCAATTATTTTTATCAATAACAACATTGTTTAGCGAATGATTTGTTACATATAATGAGACTATTGGTCTGTATTTGTATATACACTGTACAATTTATACATTCAATATTCCGTATTTTTTATAAGAAGGGGCAATAATATTTTCAATATTGATTTACTAACGAAGCTGTTTTGATTCCCTTATCTGATAAGAAAAAACAGCTTCATAATAAAGCAAATAATATTTAACATTTCAACAAAACTTCCTTTATACAATGGAAGTCCGAACTGATGAAATACACCACGAAACATTGTCAACTACCTTCATACAAATGAAGTGAGTATACTGGCCAAATATTCGAATTTAAATGAAATATTATGTAATATATAGTGGGAATGTGAATTCCATATCAATCCACTCACTATAAATACTTCAAGATATTTAATTTTCTTAGTACATCGATTTAATTGAATTCTTTGAATCGTTTGATGATAGAAAATTGAAATTTGGTAGGATGCAGTAATATGATGTAAGGAATTGGAGCATTTGTCTTCAGGGAAGCTGTCCAAGCGGCTGATGAACTCGGTTTGGTTTTTGACACTGAACAAGATTATCATAACTCTGTCACCGAATTGGAACCCGTTCAGAAAAGGCCCACGTAAAAGCTGCAGAGTTCGCTTCACTCCTGCGACAACACAAGGAAAAGACAATGCATGTGATCTTCTTCAACAACTTCGAAGACCTCGGCACATCAAAGCACCTGACCTTCGCTTTCCTCAGTTCGAGTGGGCTGAAGTCAGCCTCCCAGACTTGTCTTAGGCTACCTCAGACGTGTGATGGGCACGTGACAGCCCAACGTACTTGCTAATAGAATGCCCAGCATTTGGGGTCGTAGCCTATATACATCGACAAAATGTGCTCATAGGAGAGCTTTATTATCACCTACGGCACTTTTACGTTAATGACGAGACACCGGTATTGCCATACGCTCCAGGGATATTGAGTCCGTTGTGTGCAATGAGAAGTGCCGACATGATTGAAACTATTTATTCTCCACCTTCAGGTTCGTACGAGCTAATGAGCCTGATCATCAGAGCAAGACGATATTCGTTGTGAAGTTTTCAGCTCCCGGTAAGACAAACATCTCATACCATTTGCTACCGGTGAGACGAACCGTCATGCTCGTATGAGCCTGAGGGTGGATAATGATAGTTTCAATAACTTTGGCAGTTATCATTCCACACAACGAGTTCAATTTTCTCCAGAGCGTATGGCAACACCGGTATCTCAAAAGTGCCAAATATGATAATGAAGCTCCTAGGACTGCATTATGTACTGCGACTAGTTTGATTCTGCGATAGTCTGATTCAACCAACATTTTATCTTTCACAGTTTTAGATTTTCTTATGCTAACTCACCCTATTTTGGTAGATTATACAGCAATTTATCTCAGTTTTTCATTTCTTGTCACTCATTTCGGTAAACGTCTGTCAGAAAACAACTACTTTCCTGGCTGGATATTGAATTATCTATGACAGAAATGTGAGCAAGATACCTCAAGGAGGTTAATCTCGTAGATGTTTCTTGTTCAACCAGCAGCTTGAACTGGCTGAAATTATTTAAGTTGATTACCTGCAGACCTCGATATCGAGACTTTATCTCTCGTCACTACAGGAAACGTCTTACTTAGACAGCAAAGTGCCTGGAACTCGATTGATTTCAACACGGCTCCGCTACATATATGAAATTTTAACAAATATCAAACGTGAAAACTATCGAGGAGAAATATATTCGTATGAGAAAATAAATGTTTCTAAATGAAATTCAGAACCTACACAGTAGGCTTTGGTGACTGAGTATCCAGCGTGGTATCAGCCGGAGTAGTTGTTTCTCGAAAGACGTTCACCAGAACCTTTTCTTTAGGTAGTTGGGAGAGATTTCATTTCAAAATATTTAGTTTCTTATACGTCTCTCATCGACGGTTTCCACGTTCGATTTCTGTAAGACTGGAAATACCTGAATTGATTTTCATTGCCCCTTGTATTTGAAGGGATACGAATTTTCCAATTGGAACTACTTCTTCAAATATGAAAAAATTACCGATGGTGTGCACTCAATTCAGATCAGCCTGTATATGGTTCACGCCACTGCCCTTTCATCAATGTTTCCTATAGAATTCAAATATTTTTATAAATTTACTGGGACCCTCTTTATGCACCGCCTTGTATACGCATCTGAAATTTTCATCTGTTGATGACTGAACAACCCTACCAAAATTCCGTAATCCCTGTACAGTCATGATCAGGTAATGTTATGATAGAAATATAGATTGTCTAAAAATATGGTCATGTACTAAAAAGAGGTTCACCACAATGACAGTCATGCAACCATTTTGTCTTTCACAATTCGAATTGCTTCTTCTGTAACGTGAATAAAAAACTATCAATCCAATCATTCATAATATTAAAACGAGGAAAAATCGTTCAATACGTTTGTCTGGTCTACCGGATGCAAGTTCAAGCCCTATATTTTGTGAGATTAAGAAACGTTTAGTTCAACTTTGGGACTCGATATTAACTCAAATTTATCTGGGTAAATGTGTCATATAGCTTTCTAAAATGGCGTTAAAAAACTTTTGAGGTTTTTTCCGAAGCTGAAAGGATTCTGAAGATACAAAATGATCTGGAAATCTCGTGAATGAAAAAATGGTTTTTATTCCAGTCAGTTATTATTTCATTGTCTTTGTAAGATTTTCAGTTCCTTCTCATAAACTTGTTTCATTTCATAATATAAAGTTATCTTGATAATCGAACAGAAAAATTCGATGTGGTTTTGACTTGACTTCTCGAACTTATTAATCAGAGATCAATCCTCATCAACATACACTTTATAGAAATGTAAGTTCAGTATTCTACAAGTACAACGTTCATAGTAACAATGAAAATAGAAGATGATATTGAAGTGGTCGACGACTTGGATCTCTGGCTATCGTCTGCCATTACGCTACTGGCGATGACTATTGGTTGTCCGGCAGCCGCCACACTAGACACTTCTGCAGAGCCACAATTCATTGGAGGCATTGTGTAGTTATCCAATCCTTGACATCTCAGGCGATGTTCTCCCAAACACGCACTATAGGCGATGGCATGAGGAATGTAGCTTTGATCGAATGTTCCTGAAAATATTTCATATATTCAGAATTCCAAAATTATTTTATTGAATATCTAACGTATTATCCGGTAGTTATAACTGGATACTTTGCGAATTAAGAAGCAATGAAATGTAAAATCCAGGCGTAATATTAAAAATATTTCAATGATGAAGTAAAAAATGATAATAATAATGAAAAAAACCTAAAATTATTGGATCTTTCAGATATTGATCTATATTTCTTCACAATCAAATCTAGTTATTTGATAAAACAAAAAACAAATAATGGGTGACCTCATTCAGTTATTTCAAAAATTCATCAATAGGTCAAGAAAGTCATTGCAAGGAGTTTTTAATCCTGCAGAATACTGTTCATAAATTCATAAATTACCTATAATTTACGTATTTACTGAAAAAATCCTCACTTGTCAACGTATGTGACTTTCTGGAACTTCAACTTGCGTTTCCTTATATGACTGATAACCAGTCCGTTGCAAAGCTTTTTGTTAAATCATCTGAAAATGTAACTTTTAACGGGTGATGATTAACTGTATTGCCAAACATGCGCCAAACTAACTGACTAACATAAGACAAGTATAGCTGGGGCACCAGCCAAATTAATAATAACACTGATGATTTTCAAACATGACTCAACTTCTGACGGAAGCGCCAACCTCTTACGAAGGTTCGAAACTGTTGAATGCCGTCATAATTCATTGTGGTTCTGGCGTTGAATCTGGTCATTATTACGCATTGGTCGAAGACGAAACGGACTGGTATAGATTTGAGAATAGTCGTGTCACTAAATATTCTAGTGATACCTTAGATTTATTGGAGCCTTTGGAGACAGATCAAGATATTCAGGTGATGTGGTGCTGCAGGTTTTTCCGAGTTTTCCTGCAGCTGAAAAAACGAATGCGCCACTGGAATCAATCAAGTTGCCCTGGAGCGCCAATAATTTTTTGTTGTTATTTTTTCATACTTTCATCATTTGTATTACTTTCTTCTGTATTACTTCCGATATAGTATATATTTTTCTACGAGTATCTACGGCGATCAAAGAGGAAAATACATGAAACGCCGAAACTAGAAAAACTTTTGTATGAAATTTGATTTGGCGAGATGATTCTAACAAAAGAATTTTTTGTCCCGAGCATTTTTTCACTGAGAATTATCTGCTGTGATGAAAAAGAAAAAACTTCATATAAATAATTGGAATACATTTTTTTCGACTCCATATTTCAGAGCCACAATCAAAAAAGTTGAGAATAGTTTCAATACTTCATTCAAATTATCATTTTTCAAGTAACTGTTCTGGTTTATAGTTTTTATTCAGCTGCCGAACGTCGCATTATTCACGATCTGACTAATGCTTGATAAGATCGCATCGGTTTTGATTTGATGAATTATCAGATAGAAATCAGAAATTCACAAGTTAGAATTTAATTTCTTTATCAGCAGTGACTGGCAATGATTAATTCGGGAACGAAAATGATCCATGAAGAGAAAGTAAATGAAATAATCTTGCCTGTGAAAAGTGTAGTAGCTAATGGTCCGAGAGCATAAACCGGAACATCTTCTCCTCCATGAGTAGCCCATTGACGCGGAACTGCTGAGCCGTGCACTTGATTTCTATCCTCTGCAGCTGACGTCGTGTTCATCGGGACGATTCTAGGATTCGCGAATCCAGGACCGTTTCCGTACAGAATCGTAGTGTACGGTTGACCGTCCACATCGGAGACTTTGCTGTCAGGACCTATAGAAAATGTAATAATTTTATCAGGTTATCAGAGAGCATCGAATTGAAATTTGAGATACTCATTTTGATATTTCTAAAATGTTCAGTTGATTTCTAAATGTCGAGTTGATAGTCTATGGTCAATAAGCTGGCTACATGAAAATACTGCAGACATATGGCTGTGAGAGAATATTTCATGTAGTGTAGTCCAAATCGATATGTCTGCCTCTGCGAACCCGTAGCTTGAAAGGGAAAAACGGATCAAATGGATCGAATTTCGGTGAGAATTATAAGTAACATTCATGAGTTCAAATTATAGAAATGACTAGTTTTTCCCACGGCTTCGCCAACGTGGTCGTGATAGACCATTTTGAACAAATAGTTACAACATTTTCCTATCAACCCAAAACTTCAGATTTTCAACTTCAAAACTGATGACATTCAATCTTCAAACCCCTATTTTTCCCTCTTGGGGGTGAAACATCCTGATTCCCTTTTTTGATGCTTATTAACGCTCTATACAAAGAACCTACTTGTGCATCTCGAGATTCTAGGTCCAGTAGCTTCGGCTGTACAATAATATAAGGGTGTCAGTCAATCAATAGGTACCCACCTGTACAATATTGAATACCATCAGCAACAAACTGAAAGGATCAGAATGAAATATATTGATAATCCTAATATTATAAATACGTGAAGTTTGTGAGGATGGATGAATGTTATGTATGTATTTATATTTATTTTCTTCTTCACGTCTAAATAACTAAACGGATTCAAATGTGAGTTGATATATAGGTAGATCATGACCAGGAATAACACATAGGGTAGGTTGATATGGTGAAGCGATTAAGACAGCGGGGAACAGCTAGTATTGTGTAAATGAGTACCTATTGATTTACTGACACCCTTATATTGATGTATAGCCGAATCTACTGGACCTAGAATCTTGAAATATGCAGGTAGGTACTTTGTGAAGCGTAAATAAGCATCAAGCTCTTTCTTGATTCCTGATTATCTCTAATCAGGAATTTCTACCCCCAAGGGAATAAAATAGAAGTTCAAATATTGTATTGAATTACGTCAGTTTTGAAGTTGGAAACCTGAAATTTTGGGTTGAAAAAGAATATTGTGACTATTTGTTCAAAATGGCCTGTCACGAAACTGAATGTGACAAACTACGCCGGCGAAGTCACGGCCAACAGCTAGTTATTTATATTTCAGCTTGGAAAATACAGTAACTGAAATAATATGATAACTGCACTGGGTAACGGATAGCTCCGAGAATCGAATTATGTTATCCATAGAAAAATTCACAAAACTAACACAGCCGTCAACGACGACCACACCTATGCTGCCACGGATCATTTCCCTTGGTCTTACACTAGACGCTACGCGTAATGGCTCACACGTTGCGTCAAGTTAATCTTATCTTGAAAACTTTCGTCCATTTCACTGAGTGTTGAAAAAAGTTCATCTCTATAAAATACTCAAAACGAAAATTGTATCGACTCTCATGAGAATTTGACGGATATTCTAAAATGTGCATTGTTAAGAAGTATCCAATTCAATTGTAGTTATGGCTAATTTTTTTGCATATATTGGCTACCACATAAAAGGTTGATATGTGCTATAGCTGACTTTTATTCGAAACTATTTAAAATAAACTATCTCACGGTACATTATCTGCATGCAACTCCCCACACAGCACCAGATATTCATGGAATATTCCCTCTTTGTCATAAAATAAACGTATATATTCCAAATATTCATAGACTATTCTTGGAATATATACATGCCTTTAGAATATTCCTCAAATATGCATGAATTAGTATGTCAGAATTATTCCCGAAAGAATGTGCATAGAATGTCTATAAATCAATTATTCTCCCGTGAATGTTCTGAGACTATTGCCGATCGAATATACCATATGGTATATTTTCAGAATAAATTCCCACGGTATATTTTGGAATATTCTATACGGTGTATACTGGAATTTTGAATTATCCTATTCAAATAATTCAACATCATTGAAAACAAAAAATTTTAAGATTTGAATCGAATGCATAACCTAATGTATATAACCCTAATAGTGGTAACCAGTTTTTGAACTCAACGCAAAGATTCTGATAAACTGTTGCAAACGACAAAAAAAATTCGAATGATCCAATAAATGAACCTATTGCATCAATAGATCGGTTTATTCTCATCGTATTTGTCTTTTTGTATTTGATATTATTCAACTACAAAGCGATAAATCCTAGAAACAGAGAAATGGGGAAGTAAAGTATTGGAGTAAGCCTTTCTCATTGGTCAATTAAAGTGTAGCGCGCGACAGTGGAAGCTCTGTTAAAACGGCTGCCCCTTAATGCTTGGCAGCTTTGCGTTGAAATCGACATTTGATTTAACATGGCCGTTGACATGCCAGGTTCGCGACAGGTTTGGTGTTAGTATCAAAATATAATTCTTTCATGTTCAGTGTACCATTTATAGTTTGGGGTTGTCCAATTTGCAGTACAGTGAATAGTTTGCTTTTGCATTTCCAAACAGTAGAGGTGCATATTCATTCTTTAAGCAAAGTAAGTAAACTGCAATAGTATCGATAGTAAAGTCATGGTGCCTAACCTACTATATCCCATTTTAGGCCCGAGGAGAATTGCTGTGTGAGATTTGTTGGTTTGACTAAGTACATGTTTCAACTAGAGTGATTTCAGTTGTGTATGTTCAGTAGAGAAAAGTAAGTGAATGACACACTCTTTTGTATCAATTATTTTCATAATATCCATCACTCTATTTCAAAAGGAAACGGAGCGGTACCTGATACAGACAGGTGCGCCAAGAAACTGAAAACATAGTATTTTTCAGTGAGTGCAAGTTGCTCTCCAAGCGATAAAAAGTTGTAAATGTTCATGAGGAACCTATGAGAAAAATTTCTATTTGATTTTTATTTCAATTTCATTGTGTCACTTTCAAATTATGATAATGAACATTATTGTACATTTTGTTTCAGGTATCGATGTTGAAACACTGGCTGATGCATTGTTGGAGAAATATCAGAAAAACTCCTCTGGTGAGCCAAGTTTGGATAACTTAAAGTTACTGAAATTCATTGAAGAACCCATCATACCATTAATTTAAAATTACTTAAATACTAAATTAGTGGGTTTATTTGTTGAAGTGAGAAATCTATATCTCCATTTTTTTATTTTTATTTATTTTTTTTCACGTTACATAATGAAATATGTTTTTAGCAAGTCATTTTTGGCTTTACATTCAAAGTTTACAAGTTAACATTCACACAACATTTACAAGTTGAAATTTACACAACAATCACATATGTAAAAACTATGAAAATCAGAAAGAAGTAGTGACTTCTATGTTACCACAAAAATGTGTTCAGAAGTCATCGACAGAATAGAAGCAATGCCTCAACAAATAATTTTTCAATTTTCTGTTGTATGTGTTCAGACTGAGTTCTTCAAAATCTTGGGGCAAAATATTGTACAGAAAGTATTCTATAGAATTTTTTTGCGACAAGTGAAGACGAAATCGATTTATTCTGATGTGATGAGCGTTTCGTGTGTTATGTTCGTGGATATGACATTGTTTTTTCAAATGGATTTCAATCAAAACGTAATAAAGAAATAGAATTGGCAATAGCATAATTCTGAGTTTTTCAAAATAATTTTGACAGTGATCCCTGTATCCAATATTAGCCAGCACTCTCAATGCCTTCTTTTGCATCCTAAATATTTGAATTAAATGNCAAACAGGAAAAGGGTTTTATGATGGCTCGTTTGGTGAATATTTCAATTAACTACATATTTTTTTCAAATCTAATTTGATATTCCCGAGCAGTTTCATATTAGATATAAGGATTCGCAAACAAATGCTACTCGAGAAACAAATGCTACTCGAGAAAGCGCCTCGTATTCCAACCATGAGCTTTGGAGTAGACTGTGGTTGTGTAACATACATTTGAAATTTCACTAATACCCAGGAAAATCTAAAGATGTCACATCTGTTGATGCACCGGGTTATTTTGAGGAACCACGTGAAACTAGTTTAGATAATTGTTATCTAGCCACTTTCAAACCAGCTGGTCATAGTAAAGAGGAACCTCATCTTTCCAAAACTTGATATTACTCGAAAATACATTCCAATCTGACAATTATGCAAACCGGAAGAGCCCAGTTAATCACCGAATATGACGCTTCTAGATGTTTTCGAAGGAATAGGTAATATCTAACGTAATATGCAAATATCTTGCAATTATATTACTCTGAGAAAATTGTATAATGTAGGGAGAAGAATTGTAAATCAATATCAATATTGCCAGGATGTGAATGGTGAACATTTTGAATATTCATTGCAATTTACTGAAGTGACTTTCGAATAATTTTCAAATTAAAATTATATTTATAGTTTGTTTGCAAATTCTTGAAACGAATGATGCAACACTATCGACTTCCTTATCATATACTAAAGGAATTCTAAAAGTTGAACGGGAGATAGGAGTGTATTCATAACCGTAATCAAATTAACCAGTGTATATGTTCAATAATTTACAATTCACACATAATACAATACTACTTATTCAAGTGCAATGTTGATCTTTATTGATATTATTTATTTTATGAAGTCTTTGGTATCTTCTACTGTGGATACACAGCTGAATCTCTAGAAAGTTGTTTATGTCCATTACAATAATGAAAATGTTTGGCCTTTTGGAAGTTCAAATGGGTAGTATCGAAAAGAATGAAATATAGAGATCTTACTAGGGCGTCATCTACAGCAAATAATAGTTACTTATAATCCTTTTCGATACCAGTCTCTGTAGATAAACTCTATCTCCAAATAATAAATAACAGCAATAAATATTTTCAAAAATTTAATGAACTGAATTAGCAACGCTGGTTCCTTGGTCTAAAGAATAACTAGTTACAGTACCTTATCTACAGTTAAATGCATTCAACCTTACAGTAATCTCGTTAATACAGTTGTTATAGATTCCACAATGA